CACCAGCAGCAGCAACAGCAACAACAACAACAACAACAACAACAACAACAAGAAGAAGAGCAAGCACAGTAACAAGAAGCAAAGAATGCAGCAATACGCCGAGGGCAAAAAAGTACAGAAAACAAAAGCAAGAAGCAACAAGCAAAGAAAGCAGAAGCAAACAGAAAGCAAACACCAAAAAAACGCAAGCAGCAACAAGCAAAAAACAAACGCCAAGCCACGACAGGCAAGAGAACAAAACAGCAGGCAGAGAAAGCAGAAAGCAAACAACAACAGAAACAAGCGCAGCCAAGCAGCAAGCAGAAAACATAAAAAAAAAAACAAACCAACACCTGACAGATTACATCCCTTGTAGAACCTGCTAGACCAACTCCCTTTTTAGGCACCTCCTGTGCCCTCCCGGCGCCGCGCAGCCGCGAGACCCCTTGTACGAGCTCGTCTGCAGAGAGCCGGCCGTCCCCGGCGGTATTCAACATCTTGAAGAGCTCCTTCTCGAAGGGAAAGGGTTTAGGGTTTAGGGTATGAAAACTTTAACAATCTTGAAGAGCTCCTTTGCTCAGAGCATCATGGGACCCAGGGGATTCTAAGCCAACGGCTTAGGGTTCCCGGGGGGTAGTTATGTCGCATTCTCTTGAGGAGCTCCTTCCAAGGGCGCGTTGGACCCCCGACGGCCCACAGCCACTAAACTCAGGGAGTCTGAAGGAGAATAGAACTAGAGGTTCATCACCCTGAACTCTGTGAACCCGGAGGGTCAAGACATGTCAAGACCAGATGTAGAAATCTCCTGCTCTGGATCCTGTCTGCTTGCCATGGATGGACAATCCTATATTCTGTAAGCACCAGAAAAATCGCATCCTCGCTCAGGGACCAACCCCTGAAACCTTGCAACCCAGAAAAAAACACAAATCCCATACCATAAGTCGGCGGGTATTCCCTGACAGCAAGACTCCTAAATGGGAAATGCTTCCTTCGCGGAAGCCGAATGCCTTATGGAACCCTCTCCAAACCCCGAAATAGGATCCGAATCCAAGGGTTCGGAGAATCAAGGAAGGGCTCCTCGGGATGGCTGACGTCCAACTCCATGGCCGAAAGCCAGACCCTCACCTCGGCTCTCACGCTTTGCTTCGCGGGCTTTTGTGCTTAAGGGCTGGGGCTTTTGGACTTTTGGGGGCTTGGGGTTTCGGGAGTTTAAAGCCGCTATAGGGTTGGTCTACTGGATGTTCGGGTCCCGCCTCCTGCTTCTTCAGGATGCCCTTGAACTCGTTTAGATCCAGCTTCCCGTCTCCTTCTTAGAGGCGGCTTCGAGGGGGTTCTTGGGGTGTCTGGGGCGTCTGGAGGGTTCGGGTTTTTGGGTGTGGGCGCTTAGAGGTTTAGGGTTTTGGTGTTTGGATCAAGGAAGCAATGGATGTGCCCATTCAGCGCACCTTCCGACCCGGCCTGGACCCTGCCAGCTGCCAGGCTGCTGGGCCCTACGACCCGAGCTTGTGTGCCTGCCCTGAAGCCCAGATAGCACCCTTACTAACCCCCCCAAAGCGAGCTGGATAGTTTAGCCCCGGTCTCATCAACCCGGAGACCGTGAGGCTCCCAGCTCGCTTGCTCGAGCTTACGCCATTCATCGGTGCACGGGACAGTGAACAACCAGCAACCAAATCCTACTCTGAACGCAGGAACATCATGGCATACCAGACTGTCGTTGGAAATAGCATGACGACGGTTGTCGCAATCGTAGCCGTCATGAAAAGGCAATTTGGTAGCAATAGTAGCAAGGAGTCATTTTTGGGCTCTCTGAGTATACGCCAAAGGTTATTAAACGAACAACGTTGTACTCTACGAACAACCCTCCCGTACCCTATGAAAGCCCACGCCAAGAACCCCGCACCCTCAGCCCTAAGTTCCAAAGCCTGAAACACTTAAAGACCCCTGAAAGAGGAACCCTCGAAGGGACCCTACTCCGATCCTTAAGGCCCCTACTTCGGCGGCTCCTGAGGTGTCTGCCTCGTGGAAGAGCTCAGACATCTTCGCCACGTGAGCGCGCATCGTCCGCATCTTCTCGCGCACCATGACCTTAAGGTGCAGGGTTGGAGTTAGGGCGTACTGTAAGCACCTCTATACACACATACACAATTAAAGTCTTAAGCTCAGGGTATAAGAACCTTCATCCAGGGACAGGAGTCTTAAGACATGTCAAGAGTGAAAACCCGAAACTTTATGAACTCCATTCAAGAACAGCCAAGCAGCGGTGTCGTCGAGGTAAGCGACTTTGAAGGTCTCCTACATGCAAAAAATGGCTGCTCGCTTTGTCAGGCTTCTCTGCATCTCCCAAAAGCCACCAAAGAATCAACATGGTTTTCAGACCGGCATTATAAACCTCAACATGCTGTATATGCTTACCCCGCAGCTCGTGGAGTCACAGAGGCGACACTAAACAAAGCGTTTGAAGCCCAGTATCCACTGAACCCACTCCTGACCCCAGACACCAAACACTAAAACTATGGCTTTGGGGAGTATTATGCTAGTACGTTCTGGAATCCTGAAAACCCTAGTTGTTCAGGCCCCTTCAAGAAGCCCTGTTTGGTTCTGTTCGAAGACAAGGACCAAAGCGGAACGGCTCGGCTTTGTTCTGGGCTTTGGAGAGGAGTATGGCTGCGGGCTTGCCTTTTTTCAGTGCTAGCTATAGTGGCTGCTCAACATGCTGTCAGGACGCTGAGGTTCAATGTTTGAAGACAAAGGGAAGACCGTTTTTGATTTGCACCATAAGACCAGAACTTCAAGCTACTTTCGTAGATCAACCGTCCAGATGAACCCACCAGCTGCCTGCATCAACACCGCGTTGATGACACCAACGACAGCGAAGCCCACGGTGAACTTGTGAAGCAGACAGAAGACCACCCACCACTCATTGACCTCTTCCAGGAGCACGCGGCAAACGGGCGCCCAGTTGGCTAGAGTCAGCTCGAACAGCGACAGGAAAGATCGAGTGAAGGTCCCGAAGTACATGAAGACTCGTTGCTGACCTTCCGGGTCGTCTGATTCGGCATCGAAGTAGTAGCCGAACAAGATCTGCTGCACCACCAGGGCCAATAAAAGATGGCAGACGAACAGAAGGGCCATGGACCAGCCAAGCACAGTCATGCTGCTCCGGATAGCTGTGGTCATCAAAAAGAGCGGATCAAACTCCTGAATTCTGCGGACCAGGTTCAGCAACCGAAGCAGTCGGAAGATCCGGCCCAGGCGCAAAATCTGGCTGTTCACTGGCAAATCTGCCACCAAGTTCTCTGCCAGCCACACCTAGCTTCCGCAGCACAAAGAATTTCCTTTCCTACCATTCAATTGTCGGATCGAAGCAAAACAGTTCTGAGGTTCATATTCTACGAGAAGTTATGAGCATGTGTACAGCAAGTACTTCTTGTGGGCCCAGACACGGAGATCACCAGTGCATCCAACCAGTTCCAGGCTTCCCTCCAAAAACCGAGGCCTTCTGCAAAGAGCCGCAGGCAAACTTCGATGGTAAAGACGATCCCAAACACCTCGTAACGTGGGGGTTTAGGGTGCTCTTTCTTCAGCGTATGACCTTCATTAGGTGCCTGTAATCCTTCTTAAGCCTAGGTAAGGAACGAGTTAAACCAACTGATGCTGCAGCATCCTACTTTAGGGCTTCGGGTTTGGGGGATTAGGAATCCCTCAAGTAGCCTTGGACCCTAGACCCTAAACCCTAAGCCATTATAGCCTTGGTTGAAGTAGTCCTCACTCCCGCCCCAGATCCGAGTAGTAAGCTGCCAAGAGGCCAACTCCAGGGTTGCGAAGATCCCTTCCACTCTGAGCCACCACCTCTGAGTGAGCAGAGCTAGGACTAGGGGCCTTAATAATTAGAATAAGGTTTTGGGCTTCCTTTAGATTAGAGGGTTCCTTACAGGGTTCTATAAGGGCTCCTATAAGGGTTCAGGGTTTAGGGGCCGCAATAATTAGAATAAGGTTTTGGGGCATATTATACTATTATCTATATTTACAATAAGGAACCCAAAATACTAGAGGTAATTATTTAGGCCCCTAGGACTAGGAGCCGGGCTTTGGGGGGGGTTTCGGGCGCCTGGGGCTCACGGGGGGTGGTAGGGTTTCAAACGGGTTCCGGGCATGAGGGATTTGGGTTGTAGGACCGAATTGATGAAGCACATTACAACTATCACATACTTTATGGGGACAATATTTTCTACCAGTTGTTGTCCAAATGATGATGATGATGATGATGAT